GGTTGGGAGCCCAAGAACCCCCTTCAGGGGCACCACCAGCCTGGGATGCAGTAAGCCTCTGGTGGCTGGGGTGCACTGCCCATGTCCCACCGACACCTGGAAGGTTGGAAGCTGACCCCCGCATCTCCTTCAGCAGAAGGCACTAGCCTAGAAGCCATCAGTTGAACACACAGCTAGAGTCCACCGGCTACCGGCTGCTGCGGCAGCCCACGTAAAGCCAGCTTCACTACCACGAGGGGACAGAGGCTCCCAAGTCAGCCTAGTTAGCATGGAACCCCACTTACCTCTGGGCAGTGGTGGTGATGGCATCGATGACCTCCATAATGCGATGCAGGGCCGAGTCTGTGCCTATGGTCATGTCGGTGCCGCAGAAGTCGTTATCGATGGAGCCCACCAGCCCAGCAATGCTCAGGTGTGCATGTTTCTGAGCCGTGGACTCTGAGATCTTACCTGTGCCAGAGAACCAAAGGCTTGGTGAGGGCCACGACCTGGCCAGCTGCTTTGGCCACCATACCTTTTTCTCCCTCGTTCACCATCGATAAGAAGGGGTATACCCCAGCAGGGCTCCAGGCCTAGCTCAGCCCTTCTCAAATGCTTCATCAGTCAGTAGGGAGCCTCCAGGGGACCACGGAGGCACTATGCTCCAGGCTTCCCACAGGAGGCACAGAATGGCTAAGATGTCACCTTCCAAGCAGCAACCTTGGGACTTCAAGTCTAATGTCACCTAAACTATAGCTACACCTCCGCAAACTGAGTGTGTGTCCCACATCAGACTCTTAGGAATCAGTTACAAGCAAGGCCATCACGCAGCGCGCGTGCGGGGGTGGGGGGCAGGGGATGGGAGAAGTAGGGGGGTGGGGGGGTGGGGATATGCTATCCTGGAACACGGGGCACCACCTGTGACCTCAAGGAGCTTGGGCTCATGCTGACCTCACCACCTGCACACCACCCCACTTCAGAAGCTGTCCTGGAGGAGATGACTTCCAGCCATTTCCAGAGCCAGGTAAGAGCCAGCTCTACACAGACCCACCTTCCTTCACCAGCTCCTCCAGGAGGCTGCCCCACTCATTGCGGAAGATGTTGGCACCCGTGAGGCTGCCATCTCCACCAATGACACACAGGTTGGTGATGCCGTGTTGGAGTAGATTGTAGGCTGCTGCCCGGCGTCCTTCTCTCGTAGTGAAGGCCTTGCAGCGGGCACTGCCAATAATGGTGCCGCCCTGCATGGAAGAGGCAGGAGCCTTTAGGTGGGGTGGCAGAAGATGCCACTGCTGGACGAGGTGGACCCCACAGAATTAGAGCGGGAAGTCTCTAGAACCTTGTGTGGTTCCCCCCACTCTCTGGCCTTTCTCAATGAGTCCAAAGCCTTGGGCTTGGGAGTTCTCACAAGTCTTAGAATGAGAAAGTGTTGCGTGCATGTGCGAACACACACACACACACACACACACACACACACACACACACACACACACACACACACACACACACACACGCACAAGACACACAAACACACCACCCACCAGCCAGAAGAGAACCATCTCTGTCTCCACCCACAGCCTCCCTGGTCTAGACTACAGTCTCTTGGTGTGTGTACGTCTGTCTGTCTGTCATTTGGCATGTCTCTATGTGTCTGTGCACCCAGGAGATCTCTGTGTCTGAGGGCCTCTATGTGTGTGCACACCCACACATGCTCACACACTGCCGGGGTGGGGAAGGAGCATCTGACTTCAAGCCTCACCAGCTGGATGATGTTGGAGACACTGAGCCAGTTGGCTGGCTTGATGTTCTCACCTCCTTCCACAAGGCCCTCGTAGCCCTGAAAGCAAAAACGCACGGATGAGACACCAGCCCGACTGTAGCCAGCAGCACTGTGATCACCAGCAGGAGCTTGCTCAGGGGGCCCGGCTGCAAAGACTCCTATTTGCAGGCCCAGCAGCCTGTGTGGGACTCCGAGCATGCTCTACACGCCCAGGAGTTTGTTTCACAGAGAAAAGCACGCAGTGCATGCTTGTGGTGCCAGCACTCACCTGAGGACTGTCCCCAAGCTGAGCTCATGTCATTGCACCCAAACCAGAGGGACAAGGCCAGGACCCCGAAGCCCCTAGGGAAGCCCGATGTCCTTCAGAAGAGATCTGCCCAGTGTGAGTGGTGGAAATGACCTGGCTGTGGTCTGAGGGGACTCTAAGTGCTTCCCGCCATGTGACAACATAGCATGACACCCTCCCCTACCCACGGATATATTTAACTAACACCTAGTTTCAAAGGCAGAAGTCAGGGTGCCAGGGACACACACTACACAAGTCTCCCCATGGGAACACGCGTGCATTTTGGGTGGGAAGGCCCGTACCTAAGGGAGAATTCACAAGTCCCAGAGATGTGTGGGCAACCACAGAAGACAATGTCCCATGTGTCCCCAGGTACTTGTGGCCAATTCTTCACCCCAGAGCAAAGGGGTGGGAGTACAGGGCAGTGCACCCCATAGTACTAGACAGTACCTATCTTTCATCCTGGAGGTTATGGACTGGACCCTCATGGGGTCAGCATGGCTTCTTTGCTGACCTCTGCTGATGCTCATCAGACAGAAAGTACCAAGTACCTCTACCACACAGTAGATCTGTCTGTAGGTTTTACACACGATGAACATGGGATATGGGTGTTTTGCAAATGGGTAAGACAAGATGGACAGCCTCTTATCATGCAGCTCCAAACTCCTCAGAGGGCACCACTGGCCTTCCAGCACCAGGGAAAAGTGGGCATGCTATGCTTGGCCCGGGATGTCCAGCTCAGCTCTGGGCTGTGCTCCTCCCTAGCCAGGGGTAAGGCCCCAGAGAGTGGTCAGTGAACACCACAGTGAAGGGTTGGCTCAGGCTACTGCAGCCACACAAGCAGCTCTGCCTTCACCCCTGAAGTCACAGGTGGACGAGGCACCCCAGTCTGAGGAGTAAGTAGCTTTTCCTAGTTCAAGCCAGGCTAACTGTACCTCGCTGGGCACTCAAGACCTCTGGCCATGAAAGGAAAAGTAAGACCATTAATGTACAAGTTGGAAGACTTCAGACACCACTGGTAAAACAAAATCACCTACTAAGTGTCAAGGATTCCCGAAAAGACGCTGTATGTGCAGAGACCGATTGGTTAGAGCTGCAGGGATGCGGACGGTTGCTGGTCCCGAGACTAATCACCATATCTGGCTTTGCCCATCCCGGTGTCAGAACTAACATCCTGCGTCTAGTAGATAAAAACCTTTTAGAATCTATTAGCTTGGCAGACCACCAGCTTCCACCGACCCAAAAGCTAAGACCATCATCAGAGAGCACCTGAGCCCCGGAGAAAAGCTTCTTCCCTGATATGCTGGACCCGCCTCTCTGATGTCCCCACCAACGTATTTTAAACATGCCTTGATTTACGACCTTCTTTGTTCTGTAAAACAGTTCATGAAACTGCTTCCACATCGGCACATGGAATTTGGGGTAGTTTAAATCCATGTTTCCAGGCCATGACCCCTACATTTAGCTTTTTTTTTTTTTTTTTTAACTCAACAGGATTCAAAACACGTCTGTTGCCTATGAATGTCTCAAAGATGTCAAGGACAGCCGATCAACGGCTCACTTAGTTCCAGGATGCTCTACAGCCCTGGGCTTCCAACACTCCCCTCTCATGCCTAACCTCAAACAACATCCCTCACGAACCTCACAGCTTTGTTGAAAGAAGAACACTATTCCACCTTCAAACCTTGTGCATCTCACCCTCAGCGCTGTGACTTGGAAGGGCCCACACAGCCACCGTATTAAAAAAAAAAAAAAAGCCCTTGAGAAGCCCTCATCCATCCTCTCCCATGCTCTTGGGGGTGCTTTGTTATGTATAAAATGTCTCTTTATGCCAGGCGGTGGTGGTGCATGCCTTCAATCCCAGCATTCGGGAGGCAGAGGCAGGCCGATCTCTGTGAGTTCGAGGCCAGCAAGTGCATTCCAGGAAAGGCACCAAAGCTACACAAAGAAATCCTGTCTCAAAAAACAAAACAAACAAACAAACAAAAAAAAATGTCTCTTTATAACCCTACCCGCTTCACACTGGCTCTCTCTGAAATCCCTCTCTACTTGGAAGTAAGGAATATTGGTGGTGCCTGTGTGGAGGTCTCTGAGGAGGAAGGCACTCGGCAGGGCCCTGCAGTAGATGGAGAGGAGCATCCTCTCTGTCCTTTCCTCTCTACTGCCGCTGAACACAGTAAAGTCCAGGCACCTCCTTCTCTGCGACTCCAAGCCCAAAGGTCCAAGAGAACAAAGCAGTTCCCACTTACTCACAGTCATTAGAAGACACCATCCACATGGACACACGGGAGAACTCATATTCCCTTTTATATTTATTTATTTGGCTATGTAGATCAGGCTGGTCTCTTAACTCAGAGATCCTCCTGCCTCTGGAGCTCCAGTGCTGAGTTTAAAGGCACACACCACCCGCACCTGGCCCTCTGTATTCCCTCTTAACAGGAGAGGCTAGGATGCTGAGGAAAGAGGCCTTACATATGGCTTGAACCCCCGCTCTCCCCATTTGGAGGTCATATACAGCTACATCTGCCAGGCTCCTGTGCCTCAGATCTCTGAGACTCCACAGCAGGGTATGCAGGGATCCCCCATCATCCAAGCCTGAAGCCTGCACTCAGAGAGAGAGCTGCCTGTGTCTTCTACACTGGGGGCCCCCCACTATCTCTCCCTCTCCCACATCTGTAGAGCAGAAGACTGGGTATGGCCCTGCCATAACCTGGGGCCAGGGCAAGGGACAAGGACACACCCAGGGGTGAGAGGGAAGGGCAGAGGCCCTATGAAGAGGCAGAGCTGGGGTTGGATACATTGTGTATAAGAAGTTAAAACAAGATAACCACAAGATATGACAAGGGAATTCGGGAGCCTGTGGGAGAAAGAAGACAAGACACCCAGGGAGTGGGTGGGGAGACTCACAGACTGCTGTGCCCACCTGAAGCAACATCAGGGAGCCCCTCACTCCCACCTGGCCTCCTATGGGCCACAATGACAGGACAAACCAGGACAGACAGTGTGGCCCCGGGGAGGGGGACCCTCTGTCCCCAGGGCTCTAGACTGACAAAAACCTGAGCAAATGGATTGTGCTGGCCAGCAAGAGACAAAGCAGGGTTGGCGTAGGTAGGGCCTGGACCCTCCCCCACTGGTCCTGTCCTGGCTGGTCTCCTGGTGACCTTCCGTCCATCATCTAGGCCTCCAGGACTGAACAATGCCCCGTGGTGGCTGTGGAACAAGTATTAGCGGGCACCAACCCCACAATATGTCTCACTCTATAGATGTCTTGGCTCAGCCCCTTTCCCCCAGACAATATACATCCCGTCAGTCCAGGCCCAGGCACCTGAAAGCTTCCAAGGTGACCAGAACAGAAAAATGTATTCCCTGTAGGTTACCTCAGCATAGGCTACCGCCACCACACCCCCACCACACCCCGCTTACCTCGTAGATGAGGAAGACTTTGGCCCCCACATATATGCCCATACGGGTCACAGCCCTGACAGCAGCATTCATACCTGTGAGGGAGTCGGGACACGCCATCAGTCCAGGCAGGGATATTCCCTGGATATTCCCACAGCACCCCCACCCCAGTGGGCTCCGAGCCAGGAAATTAGCGTCTGGCATTCAACTACTCCCTGGAACACTTAGAAAGCGGTGGAGGAGAGCGGCAGCTGCTCTTGAGTGGCCTGGCTTCCTTCCATGCCTAGTCTCTGGCCTCGGCTGCCCTAACCACGGCAACAGGAAGGCCCCGGACTCGGTCAGCAGAGCCCTCATTCTCTCAGGCCCACAGAATCAGGTGCTAACCATGGGGCCTAGGCATGAGATATGGGGACAGAGGAGCCTAGGGAACGGGGTCCAGACCTCTGCCATAGACTAACATAGTCTATGGGAACGAAGGTGACATGGGCACTGAAGACCTTGTTATCGCCTCTGGCCATACCCCACCCCCTGGGCCTCAGTGCCAAGCACAAAGGGTCACACGACGTACCTAGCTGAGAGGGGTGCCTCCCCCTGTCCTCCAACCCCAGACTGGAAATGCTGGTTCTGCTCCGCCTCACACCTTCCCAGGACCCACAGCGGGAAAGAGCATTGTTCCCGGAAGTAGCAAATGCCTCCCATCCCCTAAACAGATGGAAGTATTATTGCCGAGACGTGGGAGGGAACCGGGAACATCCCACACACCCAGGGAGCCGAGCATCAAAGCCTAGGAAGTCTGAGGCCCCCACAGCAGAGGCTGGGTATGGGCTGCTGGCTCCCCCTGCTCACTCCTGAGTGGGAACGGTAAGGGAGATCAGCTTAGTCAGTCTACAGCGGCCACCACCATGCCTTCCTGCCCTTAGCCCACATCAGCAGGCCCAGCAAAAGGGTCCTGGGCCCTGGTAGGTAGGAGAGAAGGCCCAACATCTGGGATGGAGTTTGGAGATATCAGAGGCCAGGCACCCAGAGTGCAGCTCCTGGTCACCTGTAGCTCCAGAGGAAGGCCAGTCTCAGGTGACGAGGCCATCTCATCAGGCTGCTGGGTGGGGGGACAGCTCAGGACTATGTTACATAACAGATACAGTGTAGCCCTGCCTTGTAAATGACTTCAAGACGCTGTCAAAGAAAACCTACATTGAGCCCTAGAAACCACACAGGTGCCAAACCAAGCATCCATGGAGACTGCCCTTCATGTTGGAACATGGCCCTTGCGACGGGACCTGGGAGAGCAGATGCCCCTAAGGACCACAAGGAAGCTGCCTTTGCAAAAGGTTCCTATTACTGGTTTTTATTCATTCATTCATTCATTCATTTTATTTATTTGCTTATTTATTTTTGAAGCAGGGTTTCTCTGTGTAGCCTTGGCTGTCCTGGAACTCAGAGATCCTCCTGCTTCTGCCTCCCAAGAGCTGGGATTAAAGGTGTGCACCCACCACAGCCCAGCCGGTTCCTATTATTGTTGAACCACTCTCAAGAGTGCCAATCACTGTGCTGAGGGCCTGGGAGTCTGGGGTTGGAGGACAGGGAGACCCCTAAGCTTGGGCACCCAATGATCCTTTGTGCTATGCATTGAAGCCCAGGGGGCAGGGTATGGCCTGAGGGGACAGCATAATCCTGGGCACCTATATCACCTTCCTGCTCTATATTCTAGACTGTGGCAAAGGTCTGGGCCCCACCCTCTGTGTTCCACTGTCCCCACAATTCATTTTATAGCCCAGGCTAGCCCAGAACTCATAATAAATTCTCCTGCCACAGCCTCCCAATTACTGGGATTACAGGCCTGAGGCACCACACCCATCCAAAAGGCCTTTCCAACTGCCCTTTCATTTGCTTTTCCTTCTCAAAATAAACTGGGCAAAGACCAGGCCCAGTCAGAGAGCCCTCAGCAGAGGGCGGGCAATTGTCTGTCCGCTAGCATTCATAGTGCCCTGTGCAGAGCCAAAGCCTGCGTATGCATTTGCTGCAACTGAACCCCAGAGAAATAACCTCTGGGAAAACAAGGTATTTTTCGGGCACCAAGAGACGATCCTGGGTCTTCCAGAGTATGACTTCTAAGCTAACAGGCCTGTGTCCATTCCCACACCCAGCAATGCAGGCATCTCACAACACAAACAGGAAATGAGTGTCTACGCTGACCACAGGGAAGGCAGAGCCCCTGAGTTGTTTAGGTACAGGGAAGGAGCTGGAAGAGATGGCCAGAGAACTGAAGCGCCTAGGCTGGGATGTGACTGAGGCCGGGCTGGCTTGTTGGTGCTGTAGTTTGGTAGATGGGTTTTGTTTCCTTTTTTTTTTTCTACCTGTAATTACTTTTAAAGAAATTTTACTCTGGTCACACAGACACTGATGAACACAACAGCCCTCCTCAGCTCCCCAACATGACTCTTGGCCCACAGGAAGGGAGAGACTTGGCCTGAAAAGGATAGGTCTTCCCGCCTGGCCAGGAGGAAAAAAGAAAACTTTTCCTAGGCCAGAGGCAGTGCTTGGGTCAGGCCAAAGGAGCTGGTCACATCTCTAGCCAGGCCAGGACTCCGGGTCTGGGCCCAGAGTCACGCCACCGAGGGCCCACGAGGGCACTGAGGGCACACAGAAGGCACGAGGTACCCAGTAGCTGACTAGCCTAGGGAACACACCCAAAGGCAGCTTCCAGAATTTAGGCAACAGACGGCGACACTCTGCCGTGATGCCAGCTGCTGCCGCCGCTTGCCCACTGATACTGGCCCTACCCAGAGAGGACTCCATGAAGCCTGTGGAGAACATGCCCTGGGGCCCAAGTGAAAATGTAAACAGATTCTGCCTACCCTCACCGACCCAGGAAGGGCCTCCTGCCTCTAGCCCCTCCACCAGCCTCCAAAAGTACATGTCTGTCACCCTGGTGGCCCTGGTCTGGCAGCTTCCTCATGACGGCAGCAGGAACTTCACACCCACAGAGACCATTCAATATTACCATCCCTCAGTCACTGGAGCCTCCCTTGCTCAGACAGGAGCCTGGGATGGATAGCATATGGCTGCCAGAGCCAGGAGCCCTGCAAATGGGATTCAGAAGGAGGGTAACTGAAGTGCCTATCCAATGGGTGAGGTGGGCCCAGCCAGGGCCTCCCTTGTGATCCCTACCATAAATGATTCTTCCTCAGGTCCCCGCCCAATCTCAGTCCCACCACTGAGCTATATTCTCTTGAAGAAGGGTATGCTGACTGGCAGCCATGGTCAGGACCAGGGGACTCAGCAGGGATCTGAGATTTCCAACAGGCCGGGAGTCAGGTGACCTTTTCTGCCTTCCCGGGCTTGCAACCATGCTTGTAAGATGCGTCCATCATCTTCATTATCCCCCACCTCTCTCTTAGGTAAGGGCTGGGCAGTCAGGAGCCTGCACTGAGGGGCATGTGTGCATCTGCATTTCCTGAACTCTCTGGAAGAAAACGGCCAAGCCCAGCTGCAGGGCTCACTCAGGGTAGAAAAGTCCCTCCAAGCCCCACGTGTCTTCCTCAGCCTCTCTTCCCCCTGAGGGTCAACTGGATGGTATCGCTCTTCAGCTGTGCCCAACTGGAGCTAGAGGCTATGGACTTCGGCAATCAGCACGAAACCAGGCCACCAAGTGAGGGGCCGAGAGGAGGCAGTTCCTCCCAAGCTAGGCTGTTCTCTAGCCTTACCAAGCCAGGCAGAGGGTGTGTGGACCCTGAGCAAACAACCACGTGCTGCCTGCCCTGTTACAGGAGTGAGACCAGGACTTCGCTAGGAAATACCCACAAAGTGCCCCTGCCCCCGAAATCCCGCTCCATGTACTCTATTCTCCACCTAGGCCTCCAGCCAAGGGACAGGAAACAGCCCAGGCGAAGGCTTGTGGGCAAGCCTGCCCTACCCTCAACCCCACCCAGGGCAGACAGGGTGGGAATCAGAGGCTGTATGGGGAGGGTACAGGGTCTCTGGTCCTTTCAAATTCCTGGGCTGCAGGATTCGGCCAGGACCGTCTCGGTGAGGTCCTGACACGTGTGACCCAGAAAGAAGAAGCCGAGTGCCCTAGGTCTGCGTGCTGCGCGGACACACCCCCAAGTCGGGCGGACTTAGGAAGCGCGAGGGCGGGGCGTGCCAAGGCCCGTGGCCTGCAGCACGTACGCTAGTGACCCGGGGGCGGAGTCTAGGGACAGGGACCTGGAGCCGCGTTGCCCCCGAAGGAGACTGGCGGGACTCGTATCCCCAGGTCTCAGGGCGAGGGACGGCGATCGCGCCGAAGGAGCCCGACGACAGGCAGAAACCCTGCCCATCCATAAACACGCCTTCGCGCCCCATCACCTTGCGCATCGCCGCCGCTGGTCAGCACTCCGATGGCCTTGCCAGCCCCCGACATCCGCAACTTCTCCAGGTCCACGGTGGCCATGGTGGCAGCGGAGACCAGGAGCCAGAGCTCCTCTTCCCCGCTCTGCGTTCCGCGCCGCTGTTGCCTGTCCCCGCCCTTTGCCGCCGCCAGTGCGCCCGGTTCGTCCCGCCCCGCTCCGGCTCCGCCCCCAGTGCAACGCTTGACTGACAGGCTCCGGGACCTAGTCGCCCCTCTGGTGGCTGCCGGGGAGAATGACGCGCTACAGCCCTTAGAAGGGCGGAGCGCACTCCAGTCTCCAGGTAGCAGTTCCCGAACCATTGGTCCCCAGGCACCTAGCAGCTAGGATCAACGTCCCCACCAAGGGAATCCACCACCTGTGCCTGACTGAAGCTTCTGAGCATGCGGAGTTCCTGGTACAGCAAGCTGGTTTGACAACTGTTCAGGTGCTGTTAAAGAAAACCCGGAGCCAAGTCCCACAGGCATTTTCAATCCCACTTGGCCAGGATCCTGGGCCTGCCCCGGGGTGCAGGTGTGGTTCAGGTGAACATTCCTCAGCAGCACCCGGACTCCGAGTTAGGCTTGCCACGTTCTCCTTCGAGCTCAACACAAGACTGTAGGGCCCTGGGCCCCCATTCTGCGTGGCTGTTGCCTGCTTGCCCACCTTGACCAGATGGAGGGGAAACCACGTGACATCGCCTCATCCTTACTTCAGAGGGATTTGCTGAACTTATCCGCCACCCTTAACCCTGGCAGCCCATAGAGAGCTCCTGGTTTGGGGTGTGACCTTTGCCTGGGGCATTGAATAGGGCATCAGTTCCCCAAGATTGGTTAGAGGGATTCAAAGCTGATAGGGGACTGGCCAGATCCAGGACTCTAAGGAAAAGCACCCACAGTCCAGAGCCCTGGATCTGGAGTGTCATGGATAGGAGTGGCCTGTGGGTCACTGTGAAGGCACCTGAGGGCATGGGGCATCTATGAAAGTGCCACCATCTGATCCTCATGGTTTATGCTTTTTGCCTGCTTTTGCTATGTTTGGTTTTGGTTTTTCAAAACAGAGTTTCTCTGTGTTATAATTCTGGCTGTCCTAGAACTCACTTTGTAGACCAGACTGACCTTGAACTCACCGAGATCCGCCTGCCTCTGCCTCTGTGTGCTGGGACTAAAGGTGTGCGCTACCACTGCCTGGCTTTGTTTTTGTTTTTTTAAGATTGATTTTTATTACAGGATTGTGGTGGCCCACAACTTTGATCTCAGCATTGAGATGGCAGAGGCAGGCAAATCTCTGAGTTCAAGGCTAACTTGGTCCACAGAGTGAGTTCCAGGACAGCCAGGGCTACACAAAGAAACCTAAGGGCACAAAAGGAAAGAAGGAAGGAAGAGGTGGGCCACTTAACTCAAGTTCTAAGAACACAGCAGGGCCTTTGTACAGGACAGGGGTGGGGGTGGGGTGGGGGCGTGGTTTACTGGGGTGGAGGGATAAATGTTTCCATAATAGTCATATAAGGTAGGGGAAGAGAAAAAGGCGTTAATTCCTTGTTGTAAACCCAAGTTTTACAGTATTTGGTAGAAAACACTAATATTTAATGTTGCTTGCAATGGGCTAGAAACATCAGGAAAGGAGCATAAAAGATACATATGTTAAGTTTCAAACCCCAGACAAACGGCTGAGGTGCCCGATTTAACACATCAAAGCGGACCTGGCCACTCAGGTCTCCCAGCGTCCCTCAGTCCCTACCTGTGACAGGATATGGCTGGCACACCCCACCCTCTACCCTGAACTCTCCAGCCCAGGGGCTGGGCTGCCCTTCCCCCAGAAGCTCTTCCCTATGTAATCCCGACATTTTGGTTACCTCCCTGCTTTTGGACCTTTGACCTCCTGGCTTCTGCACCTGGTTCCCTTCCCTCCCCTCCCTTCTTCCCTCCCCTTCTCCCTACAAGGTCCAGCTCAGTCTGGTCATGTTATGTCCACTCTGGACTCGCCCTGTGCCTGCCTCCACCTATGCTTGCCCATATATCTATAATAAACGTTCTCTTCCACTGTACCTAGAAGCAATCATGTTCTTTCCTTTCCTTTTTATTTCTTTTCTTTCCTTCTTCTTCTTCTTCTTCTTCTTCTTCTTCTTCTTCTTCTTCTTCTTCTTCTTCTTATTCTTATTCTTATTCTTATTCTTATTCTTATTCTTATTCAATATGCAAGTTAAAGAGCCCTCACAGTAGCCCCTGGACTGACGTTTTTGGTCATTATTTTTTTGTAATCTTAGCACCTATGTGTATATACATGTGTGCCCTTCTGATCTCTTTGTTTTTGAGGCAGAGTTTCTCTATGTAGCCTTGGCTGACCTGGAATTCACTATCTATGCCAGGCTGGCTTTGAACTCACAGAGAGCCAGCCACCTGCCTCTGCAAAGGCTAGTGCCACCACTCCTGGCTCCTGCTCATATTCTTTAAAAAAAAAAATGAGATTCCACATCACACTCATTAGGACAGTCACTAGGTCGTTATTAATCTATAAATGACAAGGGCTGACCAGGGATGGTGTAATTGGAGCCCTGAGGCATCGATGACAGAAAGTGAATGGCCTGATGGGTCCTCAAAACCTAAACATAGACTTACCATCTGATTAGGTCTACTGCAGGTCTTGCTCCCTGTTTCCATGCTAATGGGGCCCCTGCTATCAGACTGTGCCCTGTGAAGCATGTCGGGAGCCCCAGCTGCCCCCAGAAGGGCCAGAACCTGCTGGGTTTTACTTGGGGCATGTGTGTTCTGTCTCATGAACTTGAGAATCAGTAAAACCTGCAGCCCAAAGTTCAAGGGACTAGAGATTGGGCCTCCTATGATTCAGTTGGCACAGCGACGCCCATGCTATCCAGAAGGCAGTGGGTGGCCTCCTGGGATTTAGTAATCAGCCAACTTTCCAGCATTCGGGAGCAAGTTACTAAACTCACAAGGGAAAAGAGATAAACTCTGCCTCTTGGAGAGCCCAGAGTGCATGGTCCTGTTTCAAAACCACCAGCAGACCCTTCTGGGGCAGGGACATGCCAGGGCTGCTTAGATCCTAGGACTCAAGCCAAGGTCAAAGGAGCAGGTCCTTACTAAATCCTGGACTGGGCTGCGGGAAGGGAGGGGCTGGGGATGAAGGGAGGGCGTGGTCAAGATGAGGATAGGGTTGAAGTGTGGACAAGGCTTCTGGTGTTTAGTGTGGAGAATCCCTCGAGTCAAGCCTGCTTGTGGTCAGGAAAGCAGTCAGCCTCCTTCTCAACACTGGAAGCATCATCCAGCTGTCAGAAGGTCTTGCTCCGAGTAACGCCCACATCCTCACTTCTCAGCAGCACAGGGGCCAAGGAAGAGGAATTTCCTCAGATAATTTTACTCAGGGCAAGTCAGAGACAGATTATTTTCTCAAGTGGACCTGGCCTCAAGGTAGAAAGGGGGCTGAGAGAGGTCTCAACGGTTAAGAGCACTGGCTCTTCTTACAGAGGACTGGGGCTTGGTTCTCAGCATTCACATGGAGGTTCCCAACCAACCATAACTCCAGTTCCAGGGGATCTGACACCCTCTTCTGACCTCTGAGGGCACCAGGCACACATGTGGATACATACAGGCAAACACTCACACACGTAAAATAAATTCCTAGAGGAGGGGGAGGGCATGGAACAATGGCGGATCTCAAGCTGCCCTCAGTGAGAAAGTACCATGCCATAAGTGATGGACTGTAACCTGGAATCGGAAGCCAAATAGACCCTAAGTGCTTTTCATCAGGATCTTTTTATTATTATTTCTTTTTTTTCATAAGCCAGACACAGTGGCACACACCTTTAATCTCAGCCCTCAGGAGGCAGAGGCAGGTGGATCTCTGTGAGTTTGAGGCTTGAAAGCACTCTGTCAGGGGCAGTCATTCTATTGCTGTTTCTTCAGCAGAATAATATTAGGTTTTCCCTAGGCCACGACCTAGTAGTCTTAGGTTCTTGGCCACTTTAGCAGTGTCAGGTATGGATTCCATCTCACGGAGTAGACCTTAAATCCAATCAAAAAGTAGTTGAAAAAAAAAGAGGCTATGAATTTGAAGGAGAGTGGGGGAGGGGTATATGGAAGGTCTTGGAGAGAAGAAAGGTAAAGGAGAAATTTTTTCCACTTATTTATTTATCTATTTATTTATTTAATTTACTATGTATAGAGCATGTATGACTGCAGGCCAGAAGAGGGTGCCAGATCTCATTACAGATGGTTGTGAGCCACCATGTGGTTGTTGGGAATTGAACTCAGGACCTCTGGAAAAGCAGGCAGTGCTCTTAACCTCTGTGCCATCTCTCCAGCCCGAGAAATGTTTTTATGAATCATAATCTCAAAAGATTTTGTTGACGTGTTTGGTTACTCCCGTAACATGTGCCCCGCTGTCGCACCAGGATATTTTGCAGGCAGATGGATGTTGGAGAGGGCAGAGTCTGTAGCTGGGCTGAAAATTACCTTTCTCCTCTAGTAGTGTGCAGAGTGCCTTAGTACCATGAATGCTAGACAGGAGGAATAAAACTTCCAGTCAGACTTGATCAGAATCTTACCCACTTTTCCCACAGATCCCTCTCTCCTTCCTGTCCTAGTTTGGGTTCCGTGCACCCCCGGCAGTGTTCTGAGGTGAAGTGTTCTCCTGAGACCCTAAAGTGTCTGCCTGGATGCTCCATAGAAACACCCCACGCAGACTTGAGGGCTAAAGTCATTTGCCCACAAGGGTGGGAAGGCTTATCCAAAAACTTCTTGCTCTCAGCCTTGCTGGGAAGTAATTGGTCAGTCATTCTAACCCTGTACCTTTGGCAAACAACAGAAGACTTCCTTTCTAAAAGTTGTAGAATGTCTTCTCCCAGATGTTGAAAACCACACTGGAAGAGGCTGGCAGCGTGGGTCTGCTTCCCACACTCTCCCTGAGCACACAGGCCTTCCGGGTTTCCTTTCCTTCTTAACTGGTAACTTCTCACTTCTGCGCCTTTCCATCTTGTAGTTCTGCCTTGGGTTGCCTTGGTCACGGTTTGACATTTCTTAACATTCTCTCCTATTTCCTAATTCCCTGTTGCTCTACTGTCAGAGAATGTTCCTTACAAGACGTTCTAACCTTGCATAATGGTCTCCCGGTCTGTCATCAAGGCTTTACTGGCTGGAGCTATTTCTGTTAGTCTATGAATGATCCTTTTCATT